TTTAAGAAACTAGGATTCCCCGGATCTGTTTGGTTAGCATCAAGTAATAAGAAAGGAAAAGAAAAACAAAATATATAAACTTTTTGGAAGTTTGGTCAGAGGGAAAGTGAAAGTTTTGGGAAAAGTAGGATTTCCGTATCCAAAAAAACACACGAAATTCACTTTCTCACCAAAGTTGTGCATTTTATATATTACTTTTTCTTCACTTAATTATATAGACTTCCTTGTTCAAGGAGAGTTTCTTTCTTCTGTAAATAATGTAAATTGTTTTTTTATATAATCATGTAAACTTGAACTTGAAAAAGTCATCTTCTGAAGCGAAGCGTCAACTCTGCGAATTTCGTCACAATTTCTCTCTCAATATCAAGGTTTTCAGAGTGCTTTCTTTGCGCCGACTGGGGTGTTTTAGCCGACCCCAACCTTTCTTTTGGGGACCTTCCTAATTTAATTGTTTGTATTTTTTATTTTATTTTATTTTATTTTTATTTTTTATGTGTGCATTCAAAATTAATTAATTTTTTTCCTTTTATTATTGATTTATTTATTTTTCATTTTTATTTTTCGAAATGTCTGAAATAAGTAAGATATATATATATATATATATATATTCAATTGATAATGATTAAGAATTATTATATATATACATAATTATTTGCTTATAATAAATCTACATAGGAATAAGTGAATATAGAGAAAGGAGAAAACAAAAAAAAATTGTATTATGATATCACATACTATTCTCTTCCATATTTCAATTAAGTATTTAAATAATATTCATCTAACATAAATTTATTTATTTATTTTACTATTTAACATTATAAGGGTATTTTCGATAAATATAATCATTTTCTTTTCCTTTCCATGCCATCCAAAACTAACAAAATAATATTTTTTCACAACTTTCTTCAAAAAAATTTCTTGCTAACCAAATACACGATGAAAACTTGATTTTCCTTTCTTTCACTCCACTTTCCATAATATTTTCAGTCTAACCAAACATATCATTGAAGGTTGTCAATTTTCCTCAAAACAATTGCAGCAAAAATACAAGAAACTTTTGTTTCTTGTGAAAGTTATGCGGTTATATTTTAAATTTCTATTATACGCCATTGTGGAGGGAAAAATCTCCCTCCAATAAGAATTGAACACGTCATCATTATATAAATCTACATTTGATAGATTTCAGAAGCTCATCCGGATCAAGCCCAAATTATATTATTCTCTAGCCCAATATCAATTGTATTGGACCTCTAAGGCCAGGTGAAAACATTAATCAGCCCAACGTCACTACTGTTGAAGTTCTGGCCCATTGGTCAAGTCATTTAAACTGAGTTACATTCGGCCAAAGTACAATTAAATATTGTCTAGTCCTATTAAGCAAAGGATTCAACACAGAAGGAAAGTTCTATACAAAGCAAGTTCTACATAGGAAATATTATACAATAGAAAGAACTCTATTTGTAAAGAAAGTCATGTATGGGAAGAACTGGAGGACAAGCAACGCGAGTCCTACCTTAATTCTACCGATTTTTGTGTATAAATAGAGGCCCAGACCTCCAATAAAAGGATCCACGCAATTCCACGCTTTTATATACATTGTTCTTATTTGTCTTTACTGTTTTTGAGTGTGTCGTATTATTTTTCTCAATCGTTATTGGTGGAGCGAAATTTTGCACCTACACTTTGGCGCCGTCTGTGGGAACTTGTGCAAATATATTCCCATTCTTGTTTCACAACTGAATCCTGCAACTACCATCCAGAATTTCTAATGGAGGATCTTCAACAGATTAACAGACGGAGTTGATGCAGAAGATGCGTGAAGAGTTTCTACACCAGTTTGACGTGCTTCGTCAAGCAAACGAAGCTAGCGTGGCTCAGATCACCTTGCTTCAATAGCAGAATAACACTCTGCAAATGGTGATGGCTCAGTTGGCACCACCGCCACCACTAGGTGACACAACAACACCCCCTAATCAGGATATTCCTCCAGTTAACGGGCTTTCACCTAATGGAGCACGACCCAACGAGGCTCAGCCAAACGAGGTTCAACAACAACAAAGGGCAAGGTCCGAGGCTGTCGCCTCAGATAACATCCCTCGTCGCACACAGGATGAGCAAGTCGAGTCTAGCCATAAGCTCACGGTGTGGTCCAATGGAATTCCAGATGGTGCAGGTGTTTAGGATGTCTTTGATGGGAAAAGACTCCTGAAGATTCAGACACCTGCTGAGATGGCTAGAGAGCACAAAAACTCCCTGGTCAAAACTCCTTTCACTGACGATGTGTATATAGTTGAGAGGCCCAAGAAATTTACCATGCCTTCTTTTATTCAGTTTGACGGTACAGAAGATCCTTCTCGGCACCTAGATCATTACGCCCAAAAGATGGCTTTGGATGATCATAATGATCCTTGGATGTGCAGAGTTTTTCCTACCAGTCTGACAAGAGCTGCACTCGAGTGGTTTAGGAATATGCCACATAAGTCCATCCTGGATTACGTAACATTATGCACCATATTCCTAGCACAATACTGCGGAAATAAGAAGTAAAAGAAGAGTATTGCTAGCTTCTTCACCGTAAGGCAAAAGAAGGGGGAAACACTGCAGGATTTCTTATCTAGATTCAACATGGAAGCCTCAGAAATAGTAGACTGTCATCCCGCGACTGCTATAGAAACATTTAAACTTGTAATATTCAGGGGACGAAGTTTCACACTTCCTTGGTCAAATATTCTCCTCCCGACATGCAGACTCTCAATGCCAGGGCCCAGATCTACATTCGGCTCGAGGAAAATGTAGCCCACTGATCGCAGCACGCCACCCTCGTGACAATGGAGAACAAGCCTCGAGAGAGAATTCCAAATTTAAAGATTCAAAAAAGCCAACGCACCTCAACGCCGATTACCCAGGCACCTGAGAAGAGGCAAAGGATAGAAGAAGGGTTTACACCTCTCTGAACTACCTTAGCTCGGCTCTTCCAAGAGAATAAGATGAAGTTCACAACCCCGCAGCCAATAAAGCAACCCCTGGAGTAGAGGGACAAAAGCAAGCATTGCGCTTATCATTGAGATTATAGGCATTCAACCAATGATTGCAGATCCCTTAGGCGACAAGTGGAAAATATGATAGCCAGAGGTGAGTTAGCAGACTACCTCACGACGAAGGAGTATGTTAAGCCCCGCGAGGTCTATCCTCGCAAGGTAGAAGGTACATAAGTAAAGGTCATTTATGCAATACATGACAGATTTGAAGATGATCAAGAGTCCGAGGGGGTATACAGATCCAGATTGAGGGCAGTCCACAAGCTCAGGAAGATATCCTCAGTCAATGCTATCGCTTCGGGTAGCATCAGTATTGGATTCGGCGATGGCGACCTATCCAGAGTTCAACTCCCCTATGAGGATCCATTGGTCATCAGTCTTTTAGTGGCCAATTGTATGATCAAGAGGGTTTTGATAGACCCAGGGAGTAGCGCCAACATCATCACAAAGACGGTCTTTGAGCAGCTAGAGATCCCGTCATCATCTATTCGACCTATCTCCAGCCCATTGATGAGGTTCGATAGCACAAGAGTAGATCCCCTTGGGGTAATAGACTTATCCGTAACTACGGAAAAGAGGACTCTGAAGGAGAACTTTGTCTTAATAAAGATCCATCATTCTTATAATCTCATCATGGGAAGAGGCTGGATACACCGGATGAGAGGAGTTCCGTCCACCCTTCATCAGGTGATGCGGTGCTTGTCTCCGGACGGGAAAGAGGTGATTAACCTATGGGGGGATAAAGTCGCTACAAAGGAATACTATATGCTGACACAGGCTGAAGCAAAGAAGGTGTCTAGACAGCCTCAACCAGGTGTGACTTCCAGAAATGTACTCAAATAGCAATTACAGAGCCCTCTGCCTAAATATCTTAAGGTAGAGGAGGAAGAGGAAATTGCGAAGCCTACTGAGGAGACCCTCGAAGCTGTAGAAGTTATCCTTGTCGACCCTCAGAAGGTCACTTATTTAGGCTCTTCTTCCACGTCCAAAGAAAAGGAAGCATTAATTGATGTCATTCGGAGCAATGCAGACGCTTTTGCATGGGATCACTCGGACATGGTAGGAATCGATCCTTTAGTCTCCTGCCATAGCCTGAAAGTGGATCCAGAGTTCAAACCGGTTAAGCAGAAACACCGAAGGTTTGCCCCCCAACGCAATCGCATTATAGCAGAAGAAGTGAACAAGTTGTTACAAGCAGGTTTCATTCGAGAAGTGCAATATCCACAATAGTTGTCAAACGTGGTGGTCGTATAAAAGAAGAATGGAAAGTGGAGGGTTTGTGTAGACTATACCAACCTTAACAAAGCCTGCCCTAAGGATGGCTTCCCTTTGCCAAAGATAGATCAGATGGTTGATGCTACTACTGGCTACGAGAGGCTGACATTCCTTGATGCGTACTTAGGATACAATCAGATTCCTATGAACCCAGAAGATGAAGAGAAAATGGCTTTCATTACAGAAAAGGGGACTTATTGTTACAGGGTCATGCCCTTCGGGCTGAAGAACGCCGGGGCCACTTATTAACGCCTTGTTAACAAGATCTTTGACAATTTGTTAGGGAAGACAGTTGAAGCATACATAGATGGCATAGTGGTCAAAAGTGTGAAGAAGGAAGACCATCCGAAGCACCTCCAGGAAGTTTTCAATACTTTGAAGGAGTATAACATGAAGCTGAATCCATCCAAGTGCTCCTTTGTGGTATCATCAGGTCAATTTCTCGACCAAATAGTGAATAAAAGAGGGATAGAGGTAAGCCCGACTCAGGCTAAGGCCCTCATGCAGAATCAGGAACCAAAAAATCTTAGGGAGGTGCAAGGTCTTACTGGTCGGATCGCAGCCCTCAGCCGGTTTATATCCCGATTATCAAATAAGTGCAAACCATTCTTCGATGCCATAAGATCTAAGAATAAAGATATATAGGGACCTCAGTAGCAGGAGGCCCTCAATCAGTTGAAACGTTATATGGCCGAACCTCCAATTCTATCCGCTCCAAAACCCGGAGAGGTTTTTATTATGTACTTAGCAATTTCTAGCATAGCGACAAGTGCAGCATTGATTAGAAAGGAAGGAAAGATTCAACATCCAGTCTTCTACACAAGTAAGACAATGACAGATGCGGAGACACGGTATAGCAAAGTGGAGAAAATCATCATAGCCTTGGTTTATGCCAAAAGGAAGCTTCAGCATTATTTTGAGTCTCATAGCATTGTGGTACTCACCAACTATCCTATACGGGGTATACTCTCTAAGCCAGATCTATCTGGGAGAATTACCAAATGGGCTATCGAGCTCAGTTCCTTCGACATAACTTATGAGCCGAAGGTGTTGCACAAGGGACAAGCCTTAGCAGACTTTCTTTTAGAATATGAAGACACTCCCGAAGAGCCAGAACTCCCTGAACCACAGTGGGAGCTTTGGGTCGATGGTTCCTCAAACCAAACAAGTGCAGGAGTTGGGGTTGTTATATCAACACCCGAAGGCACCAAGTTACAGCAATCCATTTGCTTGAATTTCCCTGCTACAAACAATGAGGCTGAATATGAGGCGTTACTTGCTGGTCTTCGATTGGCCAACAGCCTTCAGGTACGTTGTTTAAAAGTTTTTAGTGACTCACAGCTTGTTATAAATCAAGTAACAGGTCAATATCATCCCAAAGAGGAAATAATGAAAGCATAAAAAGAAAATGTGGAGAATGTTACACGAAGATTCGATCAAGTCAAATTCCACCAGGTACCTCGTGTTGAGAATGCTGAAGCAGATCAATTGGCCACAGCAGCGTCATCCTCAAATGAAGATTTGACTCGGATTGTGCCAATTGACGTCTTGGATGAACCCAGCATCAACCCTCAGCAAGAAGTAATGGTGATTCCGGTCATTCTGCGAGAACCATGCTGGATTGATCCATTGGAAGGCTACCTCAAGTATGGGACTCTTCCAAACCAGAAAAATGAGGCGCGGAAGCTCAGACTCACTGTAGCTAAATATGCCATCATCAACGACCAGTTATACCGGAAATCATTTCCAGGTCTTTACCTGAAATGTTTAAGACGTACTGAGGCTCTTGTGGTATTGAAACAGATTCATGATGGAGATTGCGGCAACCATTCTGGGGGTAGATCCCTTGCACATAAGGTTCTAACTCAAGCTACTTCTGGCCGTACTTGGCCCGGAATGCTGAAGAGTACGCCCGGAGATGTGATAAGTGTCAGTGCCACGGTCCAATGAAGCATCAACCTGTCGAAGATTTACATGCAATGGCAAATCCATGGCTGTTCGCACAATGGGGGATTGATATGGTGGGCCAGTTACCCAAGACCGTGGAACAAAAGGAATATGTGCTGCTGGCTACAGACTATTTCACAAAATGGGTGGAAGCCGAGGCTTACTCAAGTGTGACTCATGAGCAGGTAAAAACTTTCCTTTGGAACAACATCATTTGCTGGTTTAGGGTAGCAAAAGTCATTATGATGGACAATGGTAAGAACCTCGACAATAAGAGTACAAGAAAATTCTTCACCGAGCATGGAATTATACAAAAGCTAGTTGCAGTTAGTCATCCACAAGGGAATGGATAGGCTGAAATTACTAACCGAACCATTTTCAGTTGTTTAAAGAAGAAGCTGGAGAAACTCAAAACAAAATGGTACGAGAATCTCCCTCAGGTGCTTTGGGCGTATCGAACCACTCCACGGCGGCCCACGGGGGAAAGCCCATTTGCCACAACTTATTGATTTGAAGCCGTGATTCCAACCGAGGCGGCAGTTCCAACCCTTCGGACATTCTTGTTACTTGAAGGAAACAATGGTCAGCAGCTCGAACACAGCCTTGATCTCCTGGACGAGAAGAGGGATGTTGCAGCAATTAGGCTTGCTTCATATCAGCAACAGTTGCATAGCAGTTATAATAAACGTGTCAGGTTCAGGAGCTTTGTGGTAGGTGATTGGGTTTTGAAGCAAGAGACAGCTCATGTAAAGAAACTGGAACCTAATTGGATCGGACCCTATAGGGTTACTGAAGTAGTGGGGAAGGGAGCATATCGTTTGGCCGAAACTAACGGACGTCCCATTACGCGTCCCTAGAATGCAATACACCTTAAAAGGTATTTCTATTAGATAAGTTTGTCAATTTTGCTAGAAATTCTTCACAAATAAGGCTACTTATGCCCACAGTCAGTCAAGTTTTTTCTTTATGTTGATTCTGTCATATTCAGTACAATTCCACTTCATTCATTTCTTTCCATAAAAATGGGGGCAATACTAGTACCTTATAATTATGCGATTTTTTATTTTTAAGCATGTTTGTATGCCAAGACATATTATGCAATTTTTATGCAAAGCAATGCTAAAATCAAGTTATTAAGAAGCATTCTTCACAATGATTCTTTTTTAAACCCAAGTTATGGCCTATAGTTAAAATTCTTTATCCCACATCGATGGCCTATAGTTAAAATTCTCTATCTCACATTGATAAAAAAGTATGTTTTACATTCTGTTATGTATGGAAATATTCAAATAGTTGACTGTAGTGTAAGGAGGGCCCACTGGTGTTAAAGGCCGCCAAGCCCAGTACCAGAGGCATTCCTTACACTGACCTTTTTGACAAAGTTTAATCTATGTCCCACATTGGATAGAAGTAGAAAAGAAATGCGGTGGATATATGCGTAATCCACTACATTTGGTCGCCAAGAAGGGAGTCTCAGTGGAAGAAAGTCTCCAAAATAAACAAGTAGGAAACTTCCCAGACACTGTTACTCACTTTCTTGGCCTTTTATCATTTTTGAGTCTTCGGCCTCATGACAAGTTGATTGGAAAAAAAAAAAAATAATAATAATATATGAAATGATGATGAATATATATACGATAGCTCAGCAAACCTCCCCTCAGGCTCAGCGTTTGGGAGTAATTTATTCACTTCGGACCCTAAGTGTCCGGCTCAACAAACCTCCCCTCAGGCTCAGCGCCGGGGAGTAATTCATTCACTTTGGACCCTATGTGTCCAGCTCAGCAAACCTCCCCTCAGGCTCAGCGTCGGGGAGTAATTCATTCACTTCGGACCCTAAGTGTCCGGCTCAGCAAACCTCCCCTCAGGCTCAGCGCCGGGGAGTAATTTATTCGCTTCGGACCTTAAGTGTCTGGCTCAGCAAACCTCCCCTCAGGCTCAGCGCCGGGGAGTAATCTATTCGCTTCTGATCCTAAGTGTCCGGCTTAACAAACCTCCCCTCAGGCTCAACGCCGGGGAGTAATCTATTCGCTTCGGACCCTAAGTGTCCGGCTCAGCAAACCTCCCCTCAGGCTCAGCGCCGGGGAGTAATTCATTCGCTTCGGACCTTAAGTGTTCGGTTCAGCATAACGTACTCTTATGCTCAATACCAAGGTCTTGTGGAGGTTATCCTCACTGATTCTAAATTCGGTATATGAGCCACAAGATAGTCCCACATCGAAAAAATATAAGAAGAAACAAGTATAAACATACTTACTTCACACAAATCCATTTCAAGAAGGGTTCCCTCCACGGTTAAATCACCAAAGGAAAAAATAATCCTCTGTTATCAGGTAAACCGTCAGAGGAAATCCCTTCTTCACATCTTATTTGTTTTGCTTTGGACTAAACAAATACAGAACCCTCAGGCAGGGTATCCAACAAAGAGTGTGCAATATTAAAAGCATTCAAGCATACTCAGTCGAAGCAAAATTAAGGCGGCATAGCTTGAGAAACATGGTTATATCATTCATAACTATCATTCCAAATATTGTTTCATTACAAAAAGACAAGATTGCTTGATCCTACTTCCTCTTCGGATCAAACGGGGTAGATTCAAAAGCATCCACCACAGCTGGACTTGCAGGTGGAGGATTTGATGGGCCAGGAACAGCTACAGGAGTTGAGACACTTGGAGCTGGAGGAACTTTAGGGTGAGCTTTCACCATCTCGACGAAGAGAACTTCAGCTTCCTGAGCCTTCGGACCCTTATCATAAGGGAAAGACACCCCCATATGAATATCAAAAGCCTCGGGATCTGTTGTTTTCTCGCCTGAACCTTGATTGAAGCCGGACCTGTAGGCCTTGGCGCTAGACAAACGCACTAAACTGGAATAACGCCCCTGCAACTGCCACTCTGCAGTGATGCAGGTGCTAAGAGCATCATTCAATTACTAGACCTCAGCCTCCAGCGACTCCACTTTTGCATCAGAAGCAGCTAGACGCTTCTTATAAATATCCCTAGCTTCATATGCAATTTGAGCATTTGCAATGGCATGGGATGCCTTCTTCTCAGAATTGCTGAGGTCTTTCTCCAACTTCTGAATGGAGAGAGACTGAGTCTCAGCGGTGGCATAAAGAGCCATTGTGGGATGCAGGCCCTGCATTGTCAGATAGAAACAATAACGGTACAAGAAAATTGGTGAGATGATTATGACAATGGAAGAAGAGGGGAGGAGCAAACCTCTATGGCTCGAACGGGGGCAAAAGGGAGTAGCTGTTCCAATCCCATCTTACCAATAATCTCTTTATCCTTGGGGAGCCACATTCCCCGAGCAATAGCCAGCGCTGCAGATGGATCAGTGATCATAGAATCACCGGTATGGAGGACAGACTTGTCAGTCCTCGAGAAAGAAGGAGCCTAAGGTGCTCCAGCCTCAGCAAGGACATAAGCTCTGACCTCCTCTTCAGGATTAGTCTCTTCAACCTTTTTTTCTTTACTTTTTGGGTTGGAAGAGCCCTTCGATTTCGTGGTTGAAGAAGAAGTCAACCTCGCCTTCTTGTTCAGAGGAATTTCGTTAATCTCCTTATCCTATTTGTTGGAGCGTAATATAGTTAATGGGGCACTCTCTACAGCCTTTCTCTTTAAGGCTTCAGCCCTTTGTTTTTCTTCCTCAGTCATGGGGAAGCTGTCGAAAGATGGAAGTGAGAGGTCCATAAGATCAGCAGCTACGGCTCCGGAAGCAACTACTTTAAGGTTTGCCGAGGTAAGTAAGTCCTCAACAGAAGGAGGGTCTCTCCAAACTTGCTCTTCAAGGAAGGAAAGCCTCTTCTTGGCAGCAAAGGAAGGTAATGTCGCTGAAATAACACCAAGAAACTCATAAATATATCGAAAGAATAAGACTCGACATGGGAAACAGCCAGAACAATCTTCATGAAGAGAGGGGGGACGTTCTATACCTAACTTCCTGAACTTGTGTGGGATTAGGAGTTTACTCGATTGAGGCACGACCCATCTCCCTTTAACAATTATCATCCTCTTTTTCCACTTCTTTTTAGAAGTAGGGAGGTCTGTACATATCCTTTGGTGCAAGGGAGAGGTGAAATAGAAGCGACCAGGTTCGGTTTCATGCTTAGAAATAGTGTAAGTGATCAACAAGTCAGCCAGAGTCAGGTCAAGACTCTCCAGCCATCGGCGAATGAGGAGTGCCGAGATTACTCGAAGGAAGTTAGGGTTTACTTGTAGGGGTGCAATATCCAATTTGTTAAAGACTAAACGATAAAAGGGATGAAGGGGGAATCTAAAAGCATTGAGATGCCCAACAGAGAGGAGCAACTCGTCTTCTCCAACGCCCTCGCTGGCACAAAAATCGGCGCCCTTGGGGTATTCTACAATTTCTACCCCCTAGGGGATCTTGAAATCTTCCATTACGGATTCAATGGAAAACTTGATACGTCGAGCAGATAAAATTGCGTTCCTTTCTTCCTTAGTAAAAATACTGTTCGACCCAGAGGTGGATGTCTCAGCCTGGATTGGGGAAACATCCGGCTGATTAACCACGTCATTTGCAGACTTAAGGAAGTTCGAAACCCTAGGAGGAGGAACCCTAATGAGATTAGGGGATGATGAGGGCGTGGACTCAGAATTTGTGATTTCTATACGTTCCGGAGTAGTCGAAGTACTCATAATGCAAGATTGGAAGAAAGGAAAGAAAAACTAACCTGGAGATATGAGAATGTGAAGAATGCAATGGATGGAACGAGCACACTAAGAACAAAAGCAAGTCTTGAAGAAGTCCTTGAGTCAGAATAACAATAGACACAAATGGAAACGCCTCGTGCGAAAGTGGCAACTGCACAACTTCAATTCCCCTTTAATTAGGAGCCGTAACCTAATTAAAGAGGAATTGGGGGCAAAGTGTGAAGGGAAAAATCTCCCTCCAATAAGAATTGAACACGTCATCATTATATAAATCTACATTTGATAGATTTTAAAGGCTCATCCGGATCAAGCCCAAATTACATTA